AATATTTTAAAAAACAGAAAAGAAACGTAAAATAGGAATTCTTGTCATCCTGTGTGTTAAAAGAAAAAGTCTGTAGCCCATAGGGGTAGTTATTATTCTAAAACACAGTAAAGAACAAGTGACATTCAACATTACTGTTTGAACCTTTTCTAGGTTGTGTATGGCTTGGCCCACTCTTTTGTTACAGCACATTCTGGCTGTTGATAATGCACTCAGATTTTCTCATAGTCACTGGGAAGCTGCTAGAATTCTTCCAGAGCTAAAATGTGATCTTCAGATACTCGGCTTAGTTATGTCTTCAAGCATAATTCTAACAGTCTTAAAAAGCAACAATTAATATTGACTGACTGCTATTTTTGTTTGCTATAATAAGCACTATTATTTTAATTTAATGGAAAAAAGGTCATGCCAAATGAAAATTTAAAATCGGTACTATACAATGGCATTTCAAAGTTTGTATACTTTGAAAAGTCATGCTTTCCATTTTGGATTCATCACTGACTAGTATAAGATGCTTTATTCCTTCTTATATCAAAGTACTGTCTTTTCAATAACAAGCCAATAAGAATAGGCACAGAAGCATGAATATGATATGGTATATTATGTACACAGATTAAAAACCTACATCATATCCTATAGCTTCACTCTTATCCACTTTTCCTCCTAAATCTTAAAGTGGTGTGGAGGGTGTTCAACATACAATTATAAACCTTTATGAAAAGTCATAAATAAATTCATCAGAAAATAATAGTTTTAAAAATGAAGACAATGGTTTTCATTTTCGAATAAAGATTTTTGTTTGGAATAACTTTTAAGATTGCTGTTTCTCTATATATAAAAAAGAACTCTTCTTATGCTAACCAATACATGACTAGAGATTTCTCCTTTCAAGTGCAATATGTCCTTCCTTTTCAAAATTAAGTCCTCCCTTAAAATATTTGCTTCCACTTGTTGTGAAGAGTCAGTATTTTCATAGGATTAATGTACCACAGTAAATTCTTTTTAAAAGTATTCTGGCCTTGCATGATTGTATATTCCACCTCTTAGAATCCTGGAATTCTTCAGGAGGATTGCAAGACCAACCTGAACTCCATAGCATATTCCAAGGAGCCTGTGCTACAGTGCAAGTGCCTCTAAAAGGAAACAAAACCAATCTGCTGTTAACCTAGCAAAAGGATACAAATTTATTTAATCATTTTTAGGCTTCCATTATTAAATGTACCACATAAGATATTATGATCCACATATCTATATGGTGTTAAAAACCATATTTGCCAGCATTTAAAAATATTTTATTATTTTTTGTGTTGGGCCTGAATGTATGCCCATATGCTACCTGTCTCCTTGTTGTCTACAGGAGCCAGAAAAGGGTGTGGGGTCTCCTAGGATTTATGAATGGTTGAGAGCCACCATATGGGTGCTGGGAATCAAATTTGGATACTCTTGAAGAGCAGCCAGTGCTCTACGCTGATGAGTCTAAACATTTAAAAGGAATATACCTAAATACATAGAAAATATTATTCTCTCATAATATTTAATAGACTACAGATAAAATTTAACTTCTTTATAGAATTATTAATTCCATAATCATTAATCTCTCTGCTCATTTGTTTTTCTGAAATATCTTGATTTAAAGTAAAAATTATCTATTTCTCTTCTTAGTCTATAGTGATGTCAGAAATCTGAGTCCTCTTTTCTTTTTTTTTTTAGAAGGATCTTGTTTTCGGGTTTTGTTGTCTGGTTAGCAGGTTATGTGGTCTTGAATAAACATGTTTCACTGCAGTGAATCTTAGAGCACAGGTGGGCACAGAGCTGACAGAAATGGAGGCTGTGTGAGTATGGAAGATGAAGAGAGTGATGCTCAAAATTAGACTCTATTAGTCTTTATTACACACGTAAATATATTTTAACCTAAAGTAGGTTTTAGACTCTTTACATCCTATAACTACAACATAGATTAATGGTAATAGCTTTATATAACAAAGAAATAAATAAAACATTAGATCTCTGTAACATGCATGCTCACTATATTTTATTGACTACAGCATCAATTTTGGTAATGTGTTCAAATTAGCGCTTATGACTTCATATTATTTAATTTTAAATTTACCTTTCCATCATAAATATTTCAGAGTATATGTCAAAGAAGAACTTAGTTTATGACTACTTAACCTAGCGCTATCTAAACAGACTACACTGGGTTTGTTTTCTTTTGTAGTTCTGAGGACACTGCTTTTTCTGTCTATACCTACATCCATTATTGTATTTACAACATTCAATATACTGATGTCATATAACTTCCAATCCTTCTCTTGCACTATCTTGTCCTCTTGCAGGTCCCGACCCTTTGTTTCAAAATAAAAATTCAAATCAGCAATCCTATAGTTTTTTTTAAATTTTTGTTCTTACTTTTATTTGGGGAGTGTGTGTGTGTGGTGTGTATGTGTGTGTGTGTGTGCGTGTGTGTGTGATGCATGAATATGAAGTCAAAGTCAGCTTATAGGAGTTGTTCCTTTTCTTTCACCACATGGACCCTGAAATGAAGCACAAGTCAGCAGACGAGCCTCTCTGCATGCATTTTTTTACTGAAACAGCTTTCTGTGTCATAAACATCAGTTTATAAAATAAAAGATTGTAGCACAGTATAATTGAAAGAGTTGATGATTTGTATATGCTAAGGAAGAACAATAGGAAAGTTAATTTTTTTCTTTTTTTGTAATAAGCTACTTAGTTTTTGTAAGAGGAGAAAACTTTGAATACACAGTAGAATCACTAGAGTTGATAACATACAGTAGTCTCAAATCTGAGCTGAAGTATTTCAGGGAATGCTCATTTTCCTGGGTGCTAATGATGGTATGCATGGTGTAAAGAGAATTGTAGTGTGTTCAAACCCAGAGTGTCAGTGCAGCACAGCAAATGCTGCCAGAAAGATCCTGGATCCTTTAGACATCTGGTTTGACGTTCCTGCTCGGTCACTTCATGTTAGAGTCCTTTTACTACTACCAGGTTTTCAAGACTCACTGCATTCAATTGTATGGCCTGCAGTTTAAGATGCTGAGATTTGAAGAAAAAAATTACATAAGAGGTAAGTATTGAAATTAACCAAAAGAACTGCCTTGACAGAAGGCAAACTTTATGATCTCCATCTGTTTGTCAACTTTCAATGGCTATGACAGAATTCTTGGTTAGACAAGTTATAAGGAAAAGTTACTTTAGCCTATGGTTTTACAGGTTTTATTCTTTTAGCTTACTCTTGATTTGGGTCCTGAAGCAAGGCAGACCATCATGGAAGGTACCATGGCCAGTGAAGCAAAGCCATCCACTGTATGGTATCTGGAAAGCAGTGATAAAGGAATGTTAGTGTTTAGTGGTGACTCTGTATTCCTTTTAGTGACATACCTACAATGACCTAACTTCTTCCCACTGTGTTTCACCTAAACACCCCACTACCTTCCAATGTTACTGCCATCTTGCAAACAAGTCTTTAGCATATGTGTGCCTGGGGAATGACATTTAAGATCTAAACCATAACATCATCCATAGTAAAGAGATTCCTGTAGTGAGCTGCACAGCCAAGTAACAGCATTTCTTACCCACATCGCTTCCTAGTTAGATCATGTGACTAGTTTTCATCAGAGAAATCTGAGCAGATGTGATTGAATAACTTTTTGAGCAGAGTGCTTAAGAAACCAATTTATTATTCTCTCCTCTTGCTTCTTCCACAGCTTCTTGAGTTTTTTTCTTTTAGACATGGGCCTCTTCTTTAGAAATCTGCAGTGATATTCCCAATTAAAATAGTTCACAGTTTATCCCAGCTCTGTGACTTTTAACCTAACCCATGCTAATACTCACTTGACCTAAAGCACTTCTTCGTATAATGTAATCTCTTGTGAAATATATACCTTTATATTTTAAAATTAAAATTATTTTCCTTGCTAAAATGAAATTTTCTTAACTGCAAGGACAGTAACACAACCCAGCTACATTTCAACCCTTTATCACACTGCATATCAGTCACCAAACATTTGATGAATGCATGAAGAATATTGATAGTCAGAACATGTGTTTTTTTTCATACAATATATCCTGATTACAGTTTTCTTTACCCAACTCATTCCAGATCCTCTCCAACTCCCTATCCTTGCAAATCCACTCTCTTTGTCTCAAATTAACAAGCAAGCAAGCATCTAAAAAATAAAAATAAGCTAAAATAAAATGAAAAAAAATAGAACAAAGCAAACACACAAACAAAAGAGCCAAAGAAAAAGCATAAGAAGCACAAACAGCTGTAGATACACCCATCACACAGAGAAATCACATAAAGACACAAAACCAGAAATCACAATATATAAGCAAAAGGCATGTAAGCTTAAAAAAAAGATTACCCAGACAAAGGATTATGAGGAGGAAAAAAAAACACTCCAAAAATACAATTGAGTTTGGTTTCTGTTGACTACTGCTGGGCATGGGGCCTACCCTTAAGTCTGGTTTACATACCTAATGAGACTGTGTTGGAGTAAACTAATTTTTCCTTTGTAAATGGATCAATGCTAGGTAGGAGTGCTCCCGGAAAATTACATTTGTTCTTCCACATAGAGGTAAGCCCAAGGTAGATAAAGCCTCTAAAGTTTGTTGTGTAGTTCCCAGGTCTGTGGTGACCAGGATGGGCGCGTGGTTGCAGCTATGCAACCCTTCTTAGGTGGTTACTATAGCTGTGGTTTATTATACTTTTATACTGAGAAAAGCAATAGGATATTTAAGCTGTCTGTGGCCTGATACATTTTTCAACTTTCAAGCCACAAACAAGTTTGAAAAATTATGCCATTTAAGTAATAAAACTTAATGAGCTTTATAATACCCTAATTCTCAAACTCCTTTATTTCACTGAGTCTGCAAATAGAAATCATTTGTTTTCATACAGAATCAACTTGAGGGCATGTGTCCATTCCTGCATTCTATTCCTCATTTTGTCATCACTTGTGTTTATTCTTGTTTCACAGAATGGATGCATTACAGGAATATTCCCATAATTCATTTGACCTGCAATGTCTGTTAAATTCATTTCCTGGAGATTTGGAGTTTAAGCAGATCTTCAGTGACATTGGGGAACAGATGGAACAGAATGCTGCAAGGTAACTATTGCTAGTGTTTAAGGTGTTTCCAAGGTAACTGTGGCTATTGTTTAAGTTAAGGTGTTTCCAAGGTAACTGTTGCTACTGTTTAAGTTAACTAAGGTAACTATGGCTATTGTTTAATTTTTTCCAAGGTAACTATGGCTATTGTTTAAGTTAAGGTGT